TTTCATAGAAATTAAGCGAGCAACAATGTACTGAATTTCATGGCCCGATGGATGCGTATTAATGCCCTGAGTTGCGCGGATTCTATAAAAAAAGTTCTCAAGGGCATCTTAATTAAATTTTTCCAACAATATAAAATTTACATCTTTGCAATTTTCAAAGATATCTTGACTTCAATTAATCATCGAATTAATGGTTAAAATAAAACCAGCAAAACACACGGAATTTATATTATTAGGAAGTTGAATCGAGGAAATGAATTTAATATGGTCCTTGAGCCTGTTAAGCTTGTCTACAGAATCGCGCCAAATTGGACCCTTCAATGGGTTTTTATTATTTAATCTCTTACAATCGAGCTCATCGAACAAATCATTCATGCGCTTTACAAACAACTGAGTCGGCTTGGCACATTTGAGGGTGTATTCATCAGACCCTAGCAACCCTTGTTTCTGCGCCATATCAATGCCTGCAGCTACCGAATTACTCAATAGCTGCGTCGCTCGGGATANTACCCTTGCAACCCTGGCTTCTGCGCCATATCAATGCCTGCAGCTACCGAATTACTCAATAGCTGCGTCGCTCGGGATACGCTCATCTTCTCAAAATTATTTGGGTAAATATGCGAAGCTGTCAGCTTAGGACATACCTTGAAGTTTACATTGGCTTTATCTACCGAATATAATTGACGAATGACTTTACCGCTCGCGATGCCATCGATAGTTTTCAAATCGTGCTTTAATAAGTTATTCCGAACCGATTTAATTAAATGGCAATAGTCGTAAAGACAGTGGATTTTTTTTCCATTGAATATAAAGAACGAATTTTCCGCGGAGACATTTAAAAGTTTAAAAAGACGAACGTTGGTTGGGCCTTGATCGCAGACAATGGCTTTGACGCTTAAGCCGAGGCCTTCAACCGTTTTAATATGTTCCGTTAAGGAATTTAAAAGACTTGAAGTCGACATACCGCCTTTTATCATATAATAGGAAAGGACATATTTCCAATCCGCCGCGATGGCTTTCACCATGAAAGAACAACATTGGTCGGCAACATTGAGGTCGCGATTACCGTCGCCAATATCTACGAAACCGTCAATAATGTATCTACTTTTATTATAAACGAGATCTATTTTAATAGAAATTTCGTCGAATAAAATTTCGCAAAACCGCTCGGTGGGAGACATTTCAGAAACGATATATTTTAAATTTTCTATTACTTTAGAATCTATACCCGGCGATACATATTTAACAGGACGCCATCGCAAAAGCGATTTTTTGTGAGGAAGTGAAAACTTCAAGTCATCGCGCATAAAATTATAGGCTTTAGTCGGCATGTAATTAATATTTTGAGCTAAAGTTTTTTCCGTGTCCGTGAAGGAACTAACCGACCGTACTATCATCGGGCGAAGCTACTATCGCGAGTGTTTGCAAACGAGCAATTTGTTGCTTTAACGCGACGTTTTCGTTTTGCAACTCTTCAATACGTATGTCCTGCTTTCTCGCGTTACCCTGATAAATACCCGCAGCCCGAGCGAAAGGCTCATGGTCGCAGAAACCAGGTTCATTGCTAAGGCCCTCCTCAGTGCCGCGAACATCAAAGCGCTGTCTTTTGACTTCTAAATCAGAGAATTGTTCGAATTGCTCGAGTGTCAAGTCGCCTTCCGACTTTATCGGAGCAGCTGTTTGACTCACTCGGAATTTTAGGTGGCAAATTGATTAGAGGAAAAGCCCCCTTTAAAAGTCGCGTTTTAGTTAAATATCTTTTATGAAAATGACGTTCGCAAATACAAATTTTTTTATTTGGCGGAAATGACACTTTCAAATTGCAAACTTAGGCCCAATTATTGAAGGCAACTTCCGTCTTCAGGAAGCCAAATAGGGTCTGGTCGTCATGAGGGGAGCAGCCCTCAACGCAGCAACTGCGGTACCCCTTTGCCTCCTCAGTAGAATGCTGCAGAACGACATCTTCTTCTGGTCCTAAATATTTTATATGGTACATATTATGAAACACACACATCACTGAATGTACCATATTTGCTTATAAATAAAAAATTCTAAAGTCAAATGGCCTTATTCATAAAAAGTAAAGTAGCTTTAAAAAAGGTTTATAAACTGGAAAATGTATGAAAACGTCATTATATAAAGCTCTTTAAACCTACTTTATTTTTTATGAATAAGGCCAAAAATTTCTAAAATCAGTTCGCATCCCTCAAGGAAAAATATGCTCGTATATTTATTTCTTCAAGAAAATTTACAGCAAAAAAAACATTTTGCCTTTGTTGTAAATTTGCTTGAAGAAATAAATATACGAGCTTTTCTTCAGATTTTCTTCAGATAACTTTAAAATATTCACGGTACCCAAAAATGTTGGTTACTTAAGCGGGTTTCACTGAATGTACATTTGCACCTATACATACATATCTAGAAAATAATCTATGTAGAAAATAATTTATGCAACCACGCGGTTTTGCATTATTAAATCTTAACGAATTCTTCAAAATTTCTTTACAATGCAGAATACTCTGAAAAAATGGTTTGCAGGGTACCTACTCACATAAATAAATGCATACATTTTCATTCCTACATTTCAGAAGATAATTCACTGGACACACTAAAGCTACATATAAGTGGATAATTTACTGGACACACTAAAGCTGGTACTTAAAGTTGGATGCAGATTTTTTGACGATAATCCCATTAAAAATTATTGCAAAAAGCTACAACTAACTTTAAGTACCGACTTAATTTTAACTATCCACTTCCTCAATAAACTATTAAATTCATCAATATGTAAGACGAACATATGTATACTTTGCTAAGAAAATGTCATGCAAGATCTATCCAGCCATATATTGTACTTTTATACATGTTATATTAAGATTGATGGCAACTCTGTTTTGAAGGATGTTCAGTCTTGTAATACAACCCTGTAAATACTTCCGGCCATTACATTTTGATCAAGCGAATAGCCAGCAAGTTGCGAGAAATAAAAAATCAAAGTTTTTCTAAGGAATCTAAACATTTGTAGTTTAAAACTCAGGTGTGGACTGCGACAAAATTAAAATGCCACGCACCACTAAGGAACAAGTTGAAAATACGCTTCGGGCAGCAGGCATAACATTCCCACCTACTGCCACATTAGCGCAGTTAAAACGTTTGTGTGACGACATTGTGGGGTCATCGCAAAAAGGCGCAGTCGCGTGCAAGTCAAGAAGATGTTCCGAACCTTTGTGAAGGTGCTGCCGCGAATGCCGAAATCGCCGATTTAAGCGAAATTAGCGCCGAGAATACTGCTACACGGGCAGAAAACCTTGCCGTAGGTACGCAGGCTGCCGATTTAAGTGCTGGGCCCTCCGCCGAAAACTCCGAGACCCCTGTACTGAATTCCAATAACGAAACTGCTGCACTAAATTCCGCGACTTCCGTTATAAATATTACGCTCCCTGATGTAAGTGCCAAGAATTCTATTACAAGTGCCGATAGCTACGCCGCCAATGCAGAGACCGCTACAAAAAACACCCGAACTGCCGTTGCTGATGAAGATGCCGCTATTTTAGAAAATGAGCTACAATTGTTGCGAAAACGTCGCGAGATTTTAGAACTGCAACGGGATATTCGCGAGCTGGAAGGAGCAGTCAGCCATAAAGAGCAAAAACCCTGTTTTATGGATATCGAGCATGCAGTGCCGAAATTCNATCAGCCATAAAGAGCAAAAACCCTGTTTTATGGATATCTAGCATGCAGTGCCGAAATTCAGCGGTGAAAGGAACACACGGTCGATACA